TAAAAGAAAATTTAATGAAGTATCACAGGTTATCCCTTATTTAGGAAAAAACTGCACTTGCAAATCCTCCGCTTTTGGTGCGGCTGACATATGAATAAAAAAATAGTTTCACTACATTCATATTTATAGTTCCAATTATGAAGAACGATGTCTTCTAGAAGGGAATGCTGGGAAGAGCCCCATTTGTTATCCTTGGTTAATAAGTATTATTTTAACATAAACACAGTTCTGCATCACCAAGTTAGCACCACATGAAAACATTTCAGTGTTATCTGTGAAGTACTGAATTCTGAAAAGCACTTGCTAGCACTTCAGAGGAAACTGGCTGGTCACATACAACTGGCTTCTCCAATCTTCCAGCTACTAAAGCACCCTCTAATCGTGCTGCATTCCTTACTAAAATTATTTTGCTGTGCATGATAAGACCCGAGTCAGTCACTGCCCTGAAGTAGGTAGAAGATGTAGACATATCTAAGAGTGAGCTCCACTAAAACACACCGCAGCCTTTAAACTTAAAGCAAATTTATTCTTTTTTAAATTAAAAAGAAATAATAACCAAGCCTCATTTTTATTTATCTATTTTAAAGTGAATAAAACAAACTAAATTCATGGAGAAAAAAAAAGCAGGGGTTTCTACCCCAGCTCTCTTGCTGACCTGTGTCCTGGGAGGTTGGTCCTTGCCTCCCAAGGCTACAAGTAAAGATACTCTGCTGAAGCAAGCTCTGCCTGGCTCCCTCTTGTCCCTAGGAGGTTTCTCCCATCCTCTGAGGGCTGGCTGCTCTCTGCTCCTTGCTGCAGCCTGTCACTCTTTGTATGAGCTGCAGTTTGCTGCTGCAAATCTCTTGCCTGCCACAGCCCATTGCCCGAAACTTTTTTCCCCCAAAGCTGGTTGCTTCCCCAGAGGGGCCACAGAGCAACCCTCCTCTCCCTCAAGACATTCATTTGACCCGTTCATTTCTTAAGAGAATCTTGTCATCTAATTAAGAACCATCCATCCACTAGGTAACAATTATTCTAGCTGCTGTCACACTGTTACTCAATTATGAATGAGGCAATCTAGGCAATTGTGAAAACAGCTTCTAATTCTACAGAACAAGCCTTAGATTTAAGGTGTGCCCCATGGGACAATGCTGCTGCACACTCAGCTTCTATACTCCAAGCCATTTGTTAACCAAGACTCAATCTAGACAACATAAAGGATAACCTCCAAGTGTCCTATTGCATGCTAAATACAGGAGAATTTATCAATTTATGTATATGCCTCTGTAGTATTTCAATAGCGATGTTTTTAACTACTGTGTTTATACCACATCTAGTAGAAAGACAACCCAACCACTGCTTTCAAACATTTGCATCTTCAGAACAAGCATCAGTGAAATTGTTTACTGTGGGTTATGCCCTTCACAGTACAGGATTACAAAGCAATACATGCACCCCTCCGAAGTGACAGGATTAAGTTTTCTAAATTTAGCAACCTCAAAGATTGGTCATGAAAGGCAAAACAGGATGATCTGAGTAACACACATAAATATGTACAGCAGCATTCCCACGCAGGGAAGAAGTGAAAGCTACTCTCTCAAAAGCCAGTCTTTTCTGAGGACTAAGCACTGTAAGAAGTAACTGATGTCAGAAGCTGAACACCACACAAGAGGAACTCACCTGAGACACGTGTCATCCTGGTGGAAAAATAACACTGCTCAAGGTCCTCAAAATGAGCTGTGAGCCGCTTGCGTCGTGAAGCTAGTGTGCTGTTATACCACGGCTGCTTTTTGGTCTGAATAGAGAAGAGAGAACACTTCAGAAAGGTAAAGCCAGGCCTGGGTTTCATTTCAATAGATTTTAACAAATTATAAAAAATTTATACATTATATGTGAAGGGTTAGAAGTGTAAAATGACAATAAATGAAGATCTTACCACCGTCAACAGTTATTCTTAGGGTCCTATGTTGCACCCTTTAACTTAAACAAGAAAAAGCTGCTTTTGGACAGTTCTTGTTTCCTGAACCTTTGCAAATTTACCGATTCTGGCCTCACATACAGGACAGACAGCAGCAATCCTAGGGGAGTTACCTCTTGCATTCATACAGAGACAGCAGAGGCCAAAGATACCAGGCTTCCAGCTTCACAAATCAAATAGACTGTACAACGAATACTTCCTAGATCCCTGGCAGACAGCTCATTAAAAAGAAGGAGGTATTTATTTTAAAGAGTTAGTTACTGAATTATTTCTTTTGAAGCAACTCAGTAACTCTCTGTAAAGCTAAGCAAATAAGGATAGAAGCAGAAGACACCATGAAGTTCAAAGGTTAATTGAAAAGAAGCCCATGAAACTCATCATTAATGCCACTTCCCAACCTCCCCAAGCAGTAATAGTGAGAGGTAGAAGCAAAGGACTGAAACTACATCAGTAAGCTCTCCTCCTGAAGCAACACAGAAAATACAGTAGTTCTCATTTTAATCACTAGTAAGGAAAAGGAACCAAATTCCCCTACTACACAAGAAGCATGAAGAAAGAACATCTTGCTTTAGTTTCTATTTAAGAAATCTCACATATCACATGCTCAAAGCTAATGGGGAAATTTTAAAAGATTTGAGAACCACCAAGCTCCCTAATGAACAACATCCCTGATCACGTACATGGTATGTAATGCCACTCAACAGCACTAACAAAATCCTCTCTGCATACAACTCCCCCTCAATCCATGCAGGAGAACACATTGCCCTCATTACAGCCATCAAGCAAGCCAACAAGAACAAACTAAGTTCAGAGCCCATTCAAATTCTGTTTATACCTGTATGAACAGTAATCTAACATTTTAGGGAAAAAGCAAGCCTCAAGCAATGAAACCTCCAGATGCCACTTCCCACGCAAAGCCCCTAGCTATACATTGATATTGTGACTCACACTTGCATGTTGACAGCACCTATGGTCCACACACGTTGTTTCATCTTGAAAGCAACTCCAATCTCAACACACAACTAGAACGCTGGAAAGTACTCCTACCTCGACACCTTTTAATGACAATTTTCTAAAACTTCACAGCTTTAAGAAATACTTAATGGAACACTTTTATAGCACCTTCCTATTAATTTTGCACACCAGCCTGGAAGGGCTCCAGCCTCTCTCAGCACATCAGGAGTGATTAGGGCTCAAGACGACTTCAAGCATCAAAGAGCAATCACTTCAGTCTCAAGTTACAATGAGCCACCTGTGACATGATGAGCAATATAACCCAAGCCCAAGTCTGATCTGCCAGATGAGCCCAGTCCACACCAAGGTGGAATCAATCATGGTAAGTATTTGCCTGCTGTGCAATACACCTGCTGGCTCTCCAGAGGAAGATGCCTCCCAGAGCAGGTCTCAGGCTGGCACATGGTGACCCAGCTGTGCTGGGAATCAATCTGCATTAACTCATCTTCATCATATCCTCCCCAGCTAAGCATTTTAAACTGCTCATGTTTTACCAAAACATTTATTGAGTTGCTATGAAGCCTGCTCCCTGACTACTTATTAAGCAATGCTGTAAAATAGGAGGGAAAAAAAAAATAAGGGAAAAGATAAAACATACCCAAGCAATTTTTATTCAACTGCTAAAACTACTGTCGTTGTCCTAGTTGAGGACATTAGGATTGCTCTGTTATCAAGAGTGATTTTACTGTCTGAACTCCATTAGGTGCTCTGAACAGTCCTCTAACAACTGTGGAAGAGCTTCATACAAGCTCCTTAGTTCTAGCAGAAAAGAAAGGTACTGTTACTAAATACTACCTTGTCCTGGTTTCAGCTGGGATAGAGTTAATTTTCTTCCTAGTAGCTGGTATAGTGCTGTGTTTTGGATTTAGTACCAGACATTGATAACACACTGATGTTTTAGTTGTTGCTAAGTAGTGCTTACACTAGTCAAGGATTTTTCAGCTTCCCATGCTCGGCCAAGAAGACGAGAGGCTGGAAGGCAGCACGGGCAGGGGGGTCACTGCTCGGGGATGGGCTGGGCATCAGTCAGCAGGTGGTGAGCAATTGTATAGTGTATCACTTGCTTTGTATATTATTACTGTATTATTATTATCATCATTACTACTATTACTACTATTTTATTTTACTTTACAAGTTTTCTCACCTTTACCCTTCCAATTCTCTCCCCCATCCCACCACGGGGGGGGCGGGGGGGCAAGAGGGGAGTGAGGAAGCAGCTGTGTGGTGCTTAGTTGCTGGCTGGGATTAAACCATGACATACCTGCAGAATTCCCCAGGGCCTATGTGACTTGTCCACTATTTACCTCTGAAGCTCAGCTTCTGGAAGAAAACTGTCCTGTAGCTTTGTGATACATAAATTCTTCCCTAAGAACACGTTCACGAGCAATGCACAAAGCAATTATATTGAGAAAGAAAGCTATGCTGTCCATTCTAGCACAGCTTCTTACTGCCAGCAGTGCCCAATCTATGATTTTTGCCATGACTGACAATTAGAAAAAAGCACAATTGAATGTATATTCTTAAAGCTATTTTTATGGTAGTCTTGCTGCAATTAGACTACCTTCAAATGAAGTGTTTAACTTCAAGAGTTCTCTTTCAACTCCCCATCCAAATATATATTAAAGTTTAATTCAAAAATTTGCACTGGAGAGTACAGATCTTGCACTCTTGAGAACAAATTGTCTTTGAGGACAAAAAAGATTATGCTCACACAAAAACACTGTCATACAGAATGACTAGAAAGTCTAGGTTGTTTTGTGCACTTACCAGCAGAATAGCTATGCTATTAATTTTGTCTTTGAAATAGAAAAAGTACCAAGACAAGCAGTGTCAGTGGAGAACAAACACACTGTACTGTATCAGAGTCCTGAACATAAGATCTCCACCCACATTTCACTTGCCCTCTGAAGTGAGGTCGAGCTACAATGCTTTGTTCAAGCAAAATCTCCCAGAAAACAGGAGCAGGACCAACAAACATTTTTCCACAGATTAATAGAGGGAAATTTCTAATTACCAATTAGTTATACAGCCACAAACCCCAAAACCTTCATGCACACATACATGCACATCAGCCCAAAATTCAGGTGTTTTCTCTTTGTATCAGTTACTCTATCAAGTAAGATCCAACAACACTTCTGTTAATTTACTAATTTGATACTGCTGTGTGCCATGGATGATCCACCACCACCAGAGAGCACCAAAGACACAACCTGGCACATAACCAACAGTCCATCAGTCTAAATCAAAACTGTTTAACCTTTTTGAAGCTGTGAGCTGGTTATCAGTATCATCTTACCAGCCCAGCTGAATCACTCTGAGCTGCAAAACTACAGCAGTGCTGTTTGGCATTCAGGAGGCCCTGTGGATCAGACAGTTTGGAGGCTACCTGCCAAATGGCTTCACTGTACACACAACTTTTTACCCTCTATGTGAATTTATAATACAGTTGGTAAGGCCCTAAACAAGGACAAACTACAAAACAGCTGTATGTTTGGAGAATGAATGCTTCTTGTTTTGAAAGTCAAGCTGAACATTTCTTGTTTTGAAAGTCAAGCTTGATCCAAAGCTATTTAAGTCAATGCAAAGGGTCAGGGATTTACCTCCCTTCCCAAATGCAGCCCACTTGGGAGAAGAGATGGAGAGCAAAAAATATCCCCTCTTCCCTGGAACAGTCAGCTTTGGGAAGAAAGTCAGATGTCTGAATATATTAGACCAGATTTCTTTCATGGTGTCAGTGTGGACACTCACAATCACGCACAGTCATTCCTACAGCTGTAGTCTTGGCTCTAGTTTGCCCACACAACCAGTTAAAAGCATTTACAAGACTCGAGATGACCAGTACCCTGGAGATGAACAGAGTTGTGCCTAATCTCTGCCCACCCTCCACATTTACTCTCCCATCCCCCAGTACACAGACACATGTATTACCTTACCTGAGAACTGCCACTGAAGCCTGGAGGCTGGCTATACTCTGTAGAGTCAATAATACTACTGCAAAACCAAAAGAAATAGTCTGCTTAAATCACTGTACAACCATCCTTTATAATTTTTAACCCATTTGCTATTCCCCCCTTTACATCCTGCAGCATGCTTGCCTTTAAAATTCATTTTACAGACAGGGAACAGGGTTATTTTTTGTTTGGGGGAGATTATTTTTTTTTTTTAAATACAGGGATATCCTAGAGCAGAATGCTGTCACACACAACTATATGTAGTGCAATCTAATGATTTCTAATTAGAATGCAAAAGCATTTCTTTTGTATGAAATATGCAGGATAAGACATTCTGAAAATAACATGCTACCATTGGTTTTCAGTTCCTTTCAAAAAAAAAAAAAAAAAAGGAAGTTTAATGCCATGGCATTTGAAGCAGCACTGTGAAGAGAAAAGCTAGAGAAATCAGCTTAAGACAGACACTAGTATTCCAGACATCTCTGAAGACACACAAAACAGACAAAAGTAATGAAATACAGAAATAAACTAAAAAAAAAACCAACAGCCAGGATTACTATTATTAGAAAATGCTACACCTTACATAGCTACATAGTATCTATAATGACACAACATACCTTGAATCACTGTTTTCAAAACATAACATACATATGCAAACTCAAGAGATTTAACTTTCAAAACTGCAAAAGGATCTACTGATACAAGCAGAAAACAGGTGGTTCAGTATTCTTGCACATATGGGCAAAATATTTAGCTCTCTCAATAAAAGCCCAGAGCCAGATTAAAGCACCCTTATCACTCAAAAATTTAAAATACTTTTAGGACAAGTAAAGGTTAGTACGCAAGAACACCATTTTATTAATTACGGAGAACACATTACAAACATCACCATGATTTGTTTCTAAAAAAATCTTTATAACTCACTTGCTTCCGCTATGTCATTTGGTTTGGACAGAAAAGAAACTACCTGGGTTCATCATTCTTAGTCTTACATACGAGGTAACCTTAGATTTAAGCATTGCTTGGGAAAACTGAAGGTTTCTTTAAAAACCTGCCAGAACACTGCTATAGGTCCTGGTTTTGTAAAAGATGATTGTACCTATTGATGTTTATGTAACAGCTGCCAGAACTGATGCAAAGACTTGACGTTCTTGGTCATAAAACAAGCGGTTTGGCTGAAATGCCAGTCAGAGTACCTGTAAGTCTAGAAGGATGAAACAGTGGTAGTAGTGCTTAAATATGTCTCCGAATGTTTTAAAGCTCCCCTGGAGGTGGAGGAAAGTAGAAACAGAAGATGAGAGATGATTTTAAAGTCTCATTAGTGGTTAACTTGTAAGATGAGATTGATTGGGCTTCTGTTACAGGCAAGACAAAAGCTGCAAACCAAGAAAATCTGAGGGATAAAAATCATTATTTGCTGTGAGCTATTGCAAGGGAGAAAACAGCAGAGCTGTTTCAGGCATGGTCAGGGACAACAAACTTTAAATTAGAATGTGGCCACATGAAATAATGAAACACATACAGCAGATCCTGCCAGGAACAGCATGAATAAGATGCTCGGCTGGAAGGCAATGAAAAGGTACTCCACTCTGAGACAGGTATAGCGGCAATTAACAGCAAAACACAGAATTTATAGCGCCCGGTCTCATTTTGCTGCAGGTTGTCTGGTGATGTAAAGCCTTCCAGAGTGCAGACGTCATCTCCCTAACCAGAATACAAATTCATAGCAATTTCTGTGTGGTGCCCGTAGCTGAGTTAACTGGCATACACTTGAATGATTTTCCTTTTAAAAACAGGAAGCAAATCAGAAAATTACAAAAGTTCCCTCTGATTTTTTTTTTTTTTAAAAAAGCTGTAACATTGGGTTCAATTAGGAAATTCAGCTACACTAACACGACATATTCAAAAACCTGGAACAAAACAAAAACACAGCAACCTGCAGACTATAAATCCCATTTGCTATACCCTTACGGGGGTGGGAGGGAGTAATTAGAACAAATGGAGGGGAAGAAGATCAGGATTTCAGTAACTGAATCAGAGTTACCAGGCAACTAATTTTTAGATCAGAATCTTTCCCCAGAAACTCCTTTTAGAGTGATAGTTTGTTATTTGCTATTACTGCCTGAATATGTAGTCACAGAGAAGTTGCTTATTTGTATCTCCTGTTTGCACCATTTACTGGTAGCAAAAATAGCATGCACGCCTGTTCAGAAAAACCCTACACAGAACTATTTGTTCTTTTCCCTTATTCTTCCCCTCTTGTTCTCTATTAGTATACAAGCCCAGCAATCTGCAATGCTGTAAACAAGTGCTGTGCTATTACCCAATTTAATATTTCATCATACCCTGTACCAGCATAAGAGAAAACACGTGTTTCTTGAAGCCAAGAACGTATTGAACGTGATAGCCGTACTTGGGTTTTTTGCTAAAGAACTTATGAAGGAAGATGGGGGGAGGCATAGTAATTTCACATTTTGAAGATGTTAAGAGTGTGGGGGGAAAAAGCTACAAACAATTAAAAGAAACAGAGCATTAATGAAAGAAGCCTGTGATTTAGAGGAAGTAGATGAATAAGGGCAAGGCACTAGAGACCAGATAAAAACAAATTCTAAAGAACTCTATTTTCTTGAACTTCAAATTCAAAGGCTAAAGACATTCTCTTCATCTCAGCACGAGTCTATGATAACCTTGTGCTATAAAACACATTAGTAAAATTTTATACAATTATATTTCATTAGCAGGGTGTTAAGCATGTTAACAAGCTATATTCCAATTTAAATATACCATTTTAATTCCCTGATAAGTTTAAAAGTCTCTGCAGGTTTAATAACATTTTAACATGGAAGTGAAGCCATCTCCAACTATATTTGTATTTCATTCTTACTGGTTCACAGCATCTCTAAAATGCACTTTGGAGATTAAATATTTCAGTTAACAGAGCTGAAAAATCAGCGTATTTTAAAGCTCCTATCAGTTTTTCTGCAGCATTCTTTCCAAGGAGGAATCAAAGTTACAGTTCTTGAGATACTCTCCAAAATTTACATTTTATGTTGAAAAGAAAACAAATTTCAAGTGGTAGACCTTTCTAGAATCTGAGTTCTGGTAATTCAAACCAATTCAATTACTTGAATTACACAAAACAGTAAGGATAGGGCAGGGATAGAAGTTACAAGAGTCCAGCAACAAACTGATGTCTGCTCAGACACTTCCTTCACATACTATTTTCTCTTCAACCACTCAAGACTACCTCAACACAGGAATGTGATTGAGAAACAGAAAAGGGGTCTTCTCAAGCAGAGAGAAAAAGGCAATCCTACATACCCTGGAAAACCCCTAAACATGGTATTATATCACACCCCTGGCATGCTGTACCAGAGGAAAAACCCAAAAGCTGAAGACATAACTGAGATGGAACCAGACAAGCATAAGAAGATCAAGCAAGAAAGAGAGACCGTGGACTCTGCACCCGCCATAGTCTAACCCACTGCCATCTCCTAGCAGACCTCAGGTTAAGCACACCAATCCAAAGTCACTAAAATATTTTGGACACTATCTTACATCTTCAAAAGCAAGAACTGAGAATGATTGATCCTAGGACATGAAATAAAGAGATATAAAGGAATAATAAGAAATTCTCAGTAGACTGAAACCAGCGTAGGCCTCGCACAGCGGATTCCGCACACCCCCCCCCCCCCCCCCCCCTCTTCCACAACCCTGGGGGGGATGCTCTTTCACCAAAACTCTGGGGCTTAAGATGTTATTCCAGCTTTCAACAGATAAAGAAGTTCTTTGGGAGCTTGTTTGTTAGCTTGGCTCAAGTAAGACAGATACATTTCCTTTCATAAGTACAGTCTTCTGTTAAAGAAAGGTTTCTAGGCCTGAAGGAATTCAACATGTAACATATTCAGCCCAAACAGTGCTCAAGTTTTCCCCAAGCAGCAGTACCATGAAGCAAACAGCAAGCAAGCTATTTAATAGCCAGTAAAACTCAGAGCCTGACAGGAATCTGATCAGCTTCACAAACCTGATGCTTGGTAAAACAGCAATAACCCACATCAAAAACACACCTGCACCCAAAAATTAGGCAAGCAGTGAAGGGTGGAATAACACTGTTCCCATCCATCTCGGCCATATTCCTGTCCTTTCTCTCAGGGCCAACCAGAGCTTCATAAAAATATGAGAGATTCTGGTCTCTGTGTCCAGAAATAGCATCCTGGTAAGAATGCCCAGCCAATATTGCTAGGCTCCTTACCAGAGCACTGTATCTAAATCTCTGTAGGGGAGGAAATCTGATCATTTTGTCTTACTTACTTCTGAGCTATTAGGTTTAGAGCTGCTAATTACAGAAAAGGTACCAGTACAATTTTATAACAGAAGTAAATAGTTTATAGAGCTCTACTACTAGGAAAATACACTGGGGAGAGGTAGGAGAGATGATCACTTAATAAAATCAGAGCTTTCTTACAAACAAAACCCACTGCGATAAAGAAGTAGAGCACTTCAAACCCTGGCACATGCAACTTAGACACAAAAAGCATCTGCCATTTTATCATCAAGAAACCAGACTACGCAATATTCCAGACAAAAATCCACATTGAAAATGTGTTATTAGAAAGGCATTTCATTAAATCAGAACAGACAGCAGATAAACAGAATCAATAGGCTGTGTATTTTAAATTTTGATCCTGTGAGCCTTTAGCCATTCATGTTAAGTAGGGAAGCTGGAGGACAACAATATCATACAAAATTAAGACCTTTCACATGCCAAGCAGAGCTGCATAATATTCAGAAAAGGCAGCATGTATTTAAGAGTAATATTTCATACCATAGCAAAGGTTAATGACAACTAATCCACACTACATTTAAAACCATCAGCTTTCCACAGCATCTGGTTTGGAGTAGACTTTTCATCCAACTGCAAACTCAGATTTTTTTTTTTTTTTCTTCTTCACTGCTTTGTTCACATGAAGTTTATACCAATCAAAAATAGAACAGGAAAATATTGTATGGCACTCAAACTAGTTTTGTTTGTGTTTTGGGCATGGCAAGGAGAGGACTAGCAAGTACAATGCAATATGTACAGCTTGAAATCCAAGTTCTGAGTTGCAAGCTCCATACCTGTGTGAAGGTGAGGGAGCCTCGAACTGCGGCACCGTACTGTCCTCACTGACTGGGGAGTACAAGCCACTCATTTCCTGAAACAGAAAGCCATGTTACAGCAAAGCTGACAAAACATAAATAGTAGGCACCATCTAATATACGGTGTTCACATAGTAATTTTTTGTTTTTTCCAAGCAGATAACCAACTATCTACATTTATTCAACTCTCACCTAAAGTCTTCACTATACCTGAAGAAACATTGATTTTCTTCAAATTTTTTATTCAGTTATCATTCCAACAGGGTTTCAGAAATCCTACAACTGCAGGGCTTTTTGCCCCAAAAGAGGCAGTTCTGGAGTTTATATTCCAAAAATCAATGGATTTGGTTACCATCCAATTGTCTCTAACCCAGCACCTCTCTTATGCATGGCAGAACAAGCAAGCTGTAACTGCATTTTTGAGATAACGTGGAAACTTATCCAATAGCCTTCATAGCTGGAAAGTAATGCTGGACATGGGTCATGGCAAGAACAGCCACAAGATGACAGGGCAAAGGTGGTATTGTGCCCCAGACTTAAAAGAGGATCTATCAGTCTTCTGTGGGGCAAGTGCACAAGAGAAACTTTGCACATAAACTTGGCTTTGTCACTGCCAGACTAAATCACTGCTGTGTACCCAGTATGAGACTGTACCTTTCATCTGTTTGAGAAATGGAAGCTATGCAGGATGCTGCAGCTCATTAGTTAGGGGGGCAAAGTGTTCCAGGACAACATTACTGATGCTTTATAAGTTCCCACTAGGTGCCCATTAGTTGTTAGGTGGAAAGTAGGATATTTGTGATGAGAGAGATCCCAGGCTTTAGAGGTCAGAACCAAGGTCACTATTACACACCAGATACGTACCCCAGCTGCAGTCCACTGAAGTGCCTGATTAAAGAGCAGAAAAGCAGGTAGCTAGATATTCTTCGAGGGATCCCGCAGCTTTGGGAATAGCTTCTCCTAGATCTGAAGACCTATTTACTAGTCTAAAGGAAACATGCTAAGGTATACTTATTTCCCAAGAGCCGAGAAACATTTAGGGGAAATAGGTCTGAAAAATGCCATTATCTACCAAGTTACAATTTGTGTAGCTATCAGCTGAAGGGAAGTTCCTGCAGTTGTCAGTTCTATTTATATTTTGATAATTCATCAGCATGTGTATAAATCAGAAGTGAAGAAATCTAAAAGGCTTTTGGGCAGTGGTTGGGATCTCGTGCTGACTGCTCAAGATGAGCAAGAAGAGAGAAGCAGACCTGCAAACTGATTCCCAAGAAGCTTTAAGGGAATCCTATTTTGAGAGGTGGCAGTCTGATGCAGTCCTGAAACATCAGTTTCTTATTCCAAGACCAAAACACTAGAATGATTAGAGGAAAGGACCAAGCAGAAACCTAAGGATTCAATAAGGACAGAAGGATTGAGCTGCTGGGTTTACAAATACTTGGAGAATAATTCTTAACAAAAATCTCAAGAGATCCCCATCATTAAGGAATTAAGAGAATTATATCATGAGGTAGCAGATTGCCTCTGTTTTGACACGCAGCAGGAGCTGCTTCTGCTCCTATCCAGTCTCTGCATTACAGCTTTCTTGTGCACCCCCCAATACCTCTCCGTTTCAAGTGTGGCATGCTGCTAAGATTTAAACAGCCTTTGCAAATAGCCAGAACACTGCAACGTACAGAAATCTTAAGTTATGATCAATATACTGGCTGTTGATTTCTAGCAATTATTCTATAATACTTACTACCAAAACAAAGAAATTGAAAGATATGATTATATAAGAGCTAGGTTTCAACAAAGCCCCCTCCTACCAACCTGCAGCTTGCACACATCAACTAAACAAACAAATTAAGGAAAGCATTATCTGTTCATTTTCCCATTACTGACTCCAATGCCATAAATTTAACACAGCAGCCCCACAGCAAGGCAGGCAGCTTGATGAAAATGAAAAATTGCCAGAGCCAGAACAATGTCTGGGCACCTCACCTCTACTCGTTTAATATCTTCTTCCAGAACACTTAGCTCCTTCTGGATCTGCTCCAATTGCTGTGGATAAGAGAATGGAAGAGATCTAAATCAATCTGCACTGCACCACCACCAAGATAAATTATGATCTTTTCAGAGAGGAACCTGAACTATCTTAACAGGGATGCTACATGATTCAAAAGTCACTAGGCAGGAAGTTCATATGCATAGATATGTAACATAATTGTGCACACGAACCACATTCTAGACAAAGTTATTGTGAAACATTACAAAACATAAGCATGAGGTACTTTGATATCAACCAGAGACCCATACTATTCAAACTAATATTTTTATGCTCCTCTAACATCTTCCATGCAAGGTAAACTGGTTTACAAGCACTGAACATAATTAGAAAAAAACACTACAAACAAGACAGTGATCATTCCACCCTTCAACAAAACATGAAAGGCTTTGCTAAAAGGTGTTAAGAGTATTTCTCTTGCTAGCAGTTAACCTGCCAACTGCCAATTTAAACTTACTGATAAAGTCTTCAGATTGAAGAAAAAAAAAAAAACAACACACACACCTATTGTGACCACAGAGAGATTTGCTCCTGGCACCAAGCAAGCGCCACGTGGCATTTCATTCAAAGGTGTGATACTTACCTTGGATTACACCATAACCTCTAGTCAATCTGAGAGCTATCCCTGAAGGGGTCACAAGGGGACTTCCCCTCTCATCAGCCAACGTCCCCTTTCCCTTCTTTCTGTCACATGTAATATTTTTCAGGTTTTTGCAGTTACTTTTCAGTCAGTCAGTAACCTGGCTTCACTCATCTCTAGCAAATGTGAAGCCACAGACTTGGAGATTTTTTTATCCCCAAGCAAGAGCATCATCTGCTTACCAGTTTTAATTCCCACTCTCATTCATCAGACATGTCCCATCCAAACACTCACACAGCCTATACCCAGCCTTGCAAGACTTAAACACATGCACTTCTCTAGGTGAGAGCTCTGAGTCTAGACCTAAACAGACAAAACTCAGCTCCAATGGACGTCTGGTTCACTAAGATGCATACGTCTAATGAATAAATTGAGAACTGGAAGTCCACCTGACTCTCCTCAACTCACAATAAAAGTCTACAGACAACTAGCACTGTGGCATTCAACCAGAAGCTGTTACCAAGTTGGCAAGTCTACTGAAAGCTTAAGCACAACACATTCTCTAAAGGCCAGACAAATTTTTGTCATTTGCAATTTTAAGGGAATATCAAATTGCTCAAATCCAAAGTTTAGTATTGCAAGACATATTACACTTAGTATGACATATTCCCAAGAACATTTGGCAAGCTACTCCGAGACTTATTCACTTGAGTGCTTAAGCTTGATCCCCCTTTAAGTGGCAGAAAGTTTTGCTTAAACAAAACCACACCCACCACTTAAACTCCCACTATTGATCAGCATTCCAAATATCTGTGTGCTCTGCATTAAATAATCCACCATTTTAATTTATCTTTTCAACATTAGAAAAGCTCTGTCCCTGAAGACAGGAGAGAAAAGGACTGCTGGGTCCAGACCTACTTCTAACATGGCTTCTCCTTCCTTGGAATAAGATGACATCGTATTTATATCCTAATCTCTCTGCTCTGAAGGTTTCAGTTTATATTTGAGTCACAGACAGCACAAATTTAATGGTTTAAAACTAGACTGCCACAGATAATTTACAAACCACTGCACCATAACAGATAAATCCATTTTCACTTCTGAAACCTACAGCAAGAATAGCAGGTAGTGCTATAGCTCCAAGATTAGCAGTAAAGTTAAGTGACACTTGCACAGCATGGGTCCTGCCTATACTCAGCTCTAGCAGACAAATACCATTAGTCCCCCACTTTCATAAATCCCATTTAAAAAGAAGTTACAAAAACACTTAGAAGTTCCAAAATGACAGCAAGGAAATCAGCTATTCTACAATGTACTGGCTCACTGCCAAAGTGGACAACTAAAAAATAATTGATGTTGTTCCCATCACATAAACAGGAGACCTTTTTACAGGAACATGAGTAGAGAGTTATTTTTAATGGCCAGCTTTTATTAGCTATTGCACAGAGTCGAAAGTACAAGGTCTGGGACTTCATTTACTAATTCTTCCTTCTAGTCACATTAAGGCAAGCAATTTGAACCTACCAAAAACTTACCCAATAGTAGCAAGTCTAAAAAACTAGGTAAATGTGTTTCATGCTTATTTTAGGGAGTCTTCTCATACTTTCAGCATCAGATGAGTTACTAATGCTCATGTTGAAACTTTTTTTTTGGTAGGTTGGCTCAAGTGTCTCATGGTTTAGCTTTAATCTATCAAAGACCTTAAATCAGTCCACATTCATTCCAATTAAACTCTGAAAAATGAGACTACTGATTTAGAAGTGCCAGTCACTGAGGAACATTTAAGGAAAGCTAAATGAATTATAGTCCTTGCAGAATATCCAGATTTATGGGCCCTTAATTTGATTTTTCACTATGTTGGGCACAGAAAGCAAACCAAGTCCTGTCCCAATGATGGGCAGAATCACACCTGTCAAACTTCAGATTAAGTCAGCAAAAACACATTGAATCATAGAATTGTTAAGGTTGGAAAAGACCTATAAGATCATCGAGTCCAACTGTTAACCTAGCACTGCCAAGTCCACCACTAAACCATGTCCTCAAGCACCACATCTACCCATCTTTTAAATACCTCCAGGGATGGAGACTCAACCACTTCCCTGGGCAGCCTGTTCCAGTGCCTGACTACCCTTTCAGTGAAGAAGTTTTTCCTAATAGTCAACCTAAACTTCCCCTGGCGCAGCTTGAGGCCATTTCCTCTCGTCCTATCACTTGTTACGAGGGAGAAGAGACCGACCCCCACCTCACTACAGCCTCCTTTCAGGTAGCTGTAGAGAGCAATAAGGTCTCCCCTCAGCCTCCTCTTCTCCACACTAAACAACCCCAGCTCCCTCAGCCGCTCCTCATAAGACTTGTGCTCTAGAACCCCTTCAACTTCATTGCCCTCCTCTGGACACGCTCCAGCACCTCGTCCTTCTTGTAGTGAGGGGCCCAAAACTGAACACAGCACTCGAGGTGCAGCCTCACCAGTGCAGAGTACAGGGGCACTATCACCTCCCTGGCCCTGCTGGCCACACTATTCCTGATGCAAGCCAGGATGCCATTGGCCCTCTTGGCCACCTGAGCACACTGCTGGCTCATGTTCAGGCAGCTGTCAACCAACACCCCCAGGTCCTTTTCTGCCAGACAGCTCTCCAGCCACTCCTCCCCCAGCCTGCAGCGTTGCATGGGGTTGTTGCGACCCAAGTGCAGGACCCAGCACCTGGCCTCGTTGAATCTCATACAGTTGGCCCCGGCCCAATGATCCAGCCTGTCCAGGTCCCTCTGTAGGGCACTGAAATGTATGCTAAAATTGAAGCACATACTATAAACTCTCTTCTCAGACACAGATGCTTTCCCAGAACTGAAAGGGCCGACATGGACAAGGAGAAGGTTTCAATTTTGCAGTTAAGAAGCAGTTGTTGTTTCAACTCCACTGAATGAACTACAAGAAGCAGGTATAACATTCTAGTCCCAAGTTAGACAAATACATGGGTACAAAAGAAAAAAGATGACCTCAGAATAGCCTATGTTTCTTATAACCTGTGGAAAAGGGATTTCAGAACATGCAAGTCAAGAACTAATGGACTGGAAAGATCTTCTCTTACATCAAGGAGCTGCATGTCAGTTAAGAAAAACAAGCCAACAGCACAACTCAGAGCTAGTCTCATCTAAGCAAAACTCACAGCAAAACTTCAAGGACAAACAAGGTTACACAATACACACTACTCTAGTGTGAGTAGGCAACTGACTCCCACCCCACAACTAGCAGTTGTAAATGTTTCCAGTAAAGGCAGGTGAACATCCCCCTTTGAAATTCAGTCTTTTCAAAGGTAGCTGAAGAATTCAAGAATATAAGGCATGATCACTGGCAACCTTCTTGTTCAAACGTACAGGCTAGCAGCAATAGGTCAAAACAATATTTGAAAGCAATGTCCAAGAAGAAAAAAAACTTACACTCAGCAGTTGCCAGAGAAGGCACCACAGTAGGAAACACAGGCTCTCATGTCATTCTTTTTAGGTAACCTTTCAGATCTAAACCCCTTTTACACCCATCAGGCAGGCCCCTCCAAAACACGCTGGTTCGAGTCTGAAGCTGTCTAGACAGACATACAAAGAGTCTTCCAAAGACAACCCTCAGCCCTGGAGTATGCAGATGAAAGGAAACCCCCTGGTTAGAGCTGCTCAGAGACAGACACACCCCACCATGCTACTGAACTACCATATAAGATTCTTCGGTGGAAATATTAATTTGAACTTGCTCAACACTAAACACCAGGTGATGGTCAGAGTTTCATTTCAGTTGGCTACCGACTAACAAGCATAGCCGGGCATAGTGCTGAGTTTTCATCCTTGATCTTCCTGTTTTTCCTGGACCACGGGCCCCTCAGGAGGCAGTGACTTCATCCTTCGTACAGCACAGACAGCAAGCGGTCCTGACTGGGTCTCCTGGTGCCAGTTTTAAATGTTTACAAAAAAGCTCAGCAGAGCCTCCCAGTGCCAGAGACAGCCGAGAAAGAAACAGCCTAGAAAAACACATTAGGAAGAGTCGTACACCCTTGACCAACTGTCTTTCCAATTCTAGAAAAAGCACAAGAACAGCAGGAGTTATTTTCTACAGAAATACTGTGAAATGACTAACACAATTCCCACCAAGCAACTTAAATAGAGCATCTGGATTCACACTGTTGAAAGCTCACAAGCCTTGTTATATTCAGTCAAACACCTTCAAGGCTCCAAACCAAAACCTTCACATACCCATCACACCATAGATCAAGACAAAAAGACAGACTATTACCAGAGGAAGCATCTTTTTTTCCCCTGCAAGCACACACAGCCATTGCACCAACCAGGACAGGGTGAAAACTAGCATCTGTCCAGCTGAGGAAGATAAATCAGGTAGTCTTTGTAAATAATCTATTAATTCTATCCCATAAC